ATGGTCCGGAGCCGCTGCGGTCTGGCCCGGGGGTCTGGGGAGCTGGGGGAGAGGTGGGAAAGGGTGGAAAAAGCAGGGAGGCAGAGAGGAGGGGATGGGAAGGGGTTGGGAAGAGAAAGGGGGGGGTGTAAAGGGGAGGGGGGGGGAGGCAGAGAGCCAAAGGGCTGTGATTTAAGCAGGACGGGGGGCAAAGGGGCAAAGATGCGGAAGGTGGAGGGGCAGAGGGGCAGGGGGTGTAGGGGGGCAGAGAGGCGAGGAGCGGAGAGGCAAAGGGGAGGGATGGGAAAAGGCAGAGATGCGAAGGGGGCAGAGAGGCGAAGGGGAGGGATGTAAACGCGAGAGGTGCAAAGGGGGAGGTGAAAAGGGAGGGATACAAAGGGGAGGGATGCAAAGGCAGAGTTGCAAAGAGGAGGAATGCAAAGGGAAGAAGAGGTGGACAGGACGGAGAGTGCAAAGAGGCGAGATGGAAAAGGGGAGAGATGCGAAGGGCAAGCGCACCCCGGGGGGAGGGCAGCTGCTGCCAGGCTTCCTCTGGCCCCGGGGTGGGCACTGGGGGCACCCAGGGCTTTGGGAGGTGAAGGGGTGGCTCGTAGGGTGCTGGAAGTGCGGGGGTCCCAGTGGAGCAGGATGGGCTGTGCACAGCTCCGGCTGGGAAAGAAGAGCCTGGGAAACTGAAGACTGGGGGGGGGGGGGGGGGGGGGGGGGAAGCTTGTAACCCTGGCCACCCACTTCTCCCACTTCAAGTGAGGATGGAGAAAAACTCGCAAGTGGGGGAGAGCAGCTCTTCCTAGCAGCCTGCAACCGTGTTTCAAAACACACCTGGTGAGCAAGGCAAAAATAAAAAGCTTCCCACCGTTTACCCTCTAGAACTGGCTGAGGCAGCTTTGGGCTTCTCCAGCTGTTTGGCAGATGGCTCAGGGACTGACCCTCTCCCCACATACAAACTGCTGTGGAGCTTCTCCCGAGCATTCCCGGGGGCCCCACACCACTCGCAGTCCGAAATAGCCTCTTTCTATTTCAGTATTCTCCTTTTCCCACATCTGATCTCACTGGGGATAATAGAGTCAGGAATGGGCACGGGATGCTTCAAAACCTTTGTTAGAATATCAATATCATGGAGACATGGTCCCAGTTAAATCTCTCCCTAGCTGTGATGGTTACTACAAGTTTGACAGCATGTCCTGGCTGGTTCCTTTAACTTCATCCTCCGTCTGTCTGTCTGCCTCCATCTGCCTTTCCAGTCCGCTACAAGGACTAGGGGCCCTTGGAAGCAGAAGGTGCCTTTTTGTTCCGTGTTTGCGCTGTGCCTGGTACAGGGGGGTCCTTGTGCATGACTGGTGTTCAAAATAATGTGCAAAATAATGAATCATCAGTTAAATAATGCTGAGCCAACTTCATGACAGCGAGACAAGACTTCTTCTGTGACAAGTGTCTCCCTCTGGAATAGTTTCATCAGATTCAGCTGTGTGCTGAAGAGTTTAACAAAGGTAATACTCATATTTCATGATGGCATGGTCCTACAATGTATTCCATCATAGCTTTACACAAGAACAAGCAAAGTTGGTTCTTGCTAAAACAGAAACAGATTCTGATTATTTTTTTCCTAGCAAAAACTCCAGAATGACAGATAGAGCTTTTCTAACTTTTTTTTATAATCTGTTTCTTGAAGATCAACAAATTGCTTCCAACCTTCAGGAAAAAAAGCTTAAAAGACAATCCTGAAAAGAATTTTTTGAAGAAAATATCCTCAAGAAATCCCAACAGACCAACAAGCTCAATATTTTTTTAATGTTAACCACCAGGAAAAACTGCTTTTTCTTTGGAAACTGAAGGGAAAAAACTGTGGTAGAGAAGGTTTCAGAGCCTCATTCTGTAGTTTTTAGATACATAAATAAGAAGTAAGGAGAAAAACAAAGAATTGAGGCTGCTGTTGACTTCACACAAAGCTGGGGCAGTGCTGGAGGCATTTTGTGCAATCCAGTGTACATGAGGTATGAACCTCAGGTTTCTGTTAAGAAACGGTGCTTCAAGATGTTGGCAAAGACATGGGGTTCATGTGAAGAAAGAGAGAAGTGCTGCAGGTGATGGGAGAAATGCTCAGCGCATCCAAGGTGGTCTCTCCATGGTCTCTCCAAGTGGTACGACTGGTGTCAGAGCCTGGCGGCTTCAGCGACATGAATCTCATTTTGGGTGTGGGCAGCAACACTCAGGTATGTTATTACTCCAGCACTGCTGCTGGGGAGGTAGAGCCCCAAGAAGCTGCTGAGACATTTGTAACCGTAGGTTGGTTGGGTTTGTCCTGGGAACTAAATTCTTAGCTTGTGTGAATCACAATTGCGATTTCTTCTGTATACACACATGACATTGATATCTTCTAGGTAGAAGAGGCTCATACTTTAGCTTCATCTCTGTTTACTGTGTGTTGCAAGTGAGTAATGGTCAACTGTCCTCGAATAACTTTGGAAATATCTAATCTAAGCTGTGATCTGTTCTGCTATTCCTCACATTTCAGTTAGCCACCACGTAGCAGCTGGGAAGGAGGACAGGGTGAGAAAGGGAGGGACATGGGCAGCTCACACCCAAAACATGGATGTGTCTTTCCTTAATGCTACTGCTAGTAGTCTAAATTAAAGTGCTTATATTTGGCGAGAGTGAACCAGTGAGCCATCTCAGAAAACACAACAGCATTTGCTGGTGTACACTGGCTCTGGGTGATGCTCTCCGACTCTCTTTTTGGTGGTGATTACCAGAGTGTGGAAGCAAGTAATTAATGTTCTTTGGAATTTCTCTATCATCCTGCAGAGTGGTCATGTCGGTGTTTTGAGGATACAGCAGGAGTCCATGGAGCTGACTTCAGAGCTGAATGAGACAAAAGGACAGCTTGGCCAAAACTCTGGAGCAGACGCAGTAGGTATGCAAGTCTTCACATAAAAATAAAAATATGTCTCACCTGAAAGTGCCTGATTTCCTTGTTCTCTTCCATTTATGTTTGCTGGTGCTGTGCCCAGTGCCATTGTAAGGTCTCAGGGTGGCCTATCTTCTCCCGTGCCCTCTGTGAGACATCCCCAGCTGAGACCTCCCCCTGTCAGGAGGCTCTCCGGAGATTCATCAGTGTGTAACCGTTCCTTCCCATCCCGACAAGCTGGTCGCTCAGGCTATTTGCTGTTTGATTTCATTAGCAACATTCAGATCAGAATTTTAGTAAAGAATTAGAACCGCCTACATTCAGATCACAGTGATTAACATGATTTTGCTCTTAAATTTCTCTCCACAGAAGCACGGTCAATTTTCTTCTCTCTTCCTTCATTTCTGAGGTAGTGCAAAGTAGCAGGAGCATCTGAATCCGTTCCAGGAGTCCTTTCTCTTCCAGCTCTGGCTAACAGGGAATTAGTGACATGAAGTAAGGATTTAGAAACCCTCCCTGGAGACTGCATCCTTCAGATCTCTGTTTGCTGTTTCTCTGCAGGGATCCACTGGCTGATCTGAGACGTTCTTCAGTGCAGCGTGAATACTTCTGTGCTGTGAACTCAGCGTGGGTCTGACGAGCGCTGTAGCCAAAACCAGCTAATCAGAGGAGCACCAATAGAGCCAATTACTGCTCAGGCTGCGCTTTCAGCCACTCATGCATGTGCCACAGTTATTCATTCACTTCCTCCGCTTAGTCTTGTAGACTTTGAGACAGGGTTGTGGTTTTCCCAGGCAGGAGCTCTTCCTTTTCTTCCACACATCTTTACAGATATTTAAACCAAAGGTTTCTCCCTCAGGGCTGTGTCATTTTCTTTGCTGTTTCTCTGTCGATGCGGGTGATTTAAGCTTTTTAATAAAACATAGCTCTGCTCTGTCTCTCTCTTTGCCTTTAAAGTATTGACAGAGTTGAGCGTTAGTCCAGGTATCAAACAAGAGAGCACGGTACTCCGAGTCTGGCTGCCTTTCTGATGGGTGTAGGTGATCTGAAACCTCAGCCCAGCTGTCTTTTATTTATATATCCGCAGTGATTCCTTTGTAGTCCAGGGTACAAAATATCAAACCCAGATTTCTTTCCCCCTGCCCACCCCTCTTTAAACTGGGTGACCTACAAAGATGAATATTTGGCTGTGTTAGTGTCCCCGCAGGAAGAGATGTTTTCGTTAGCTTCTTCTGTCTATGCTTCTCTAACTTGAGTCATTCTTCTCATAGTTTGACATTTGGTCCATCATATTTAACTGTTTTTGTACCAATGTCTGGGCTGGGTGATTCCTATTAAAAAAAAAAAAAAATCATATTCCCTGGCCAAAGTTCTCTGTAGCTCTTTACATTTCTTCCTTTCAAAGAGTAATCACGACCATGAAGAAACAGGATCTGTCTTTGGGGATCAGCCGGGAATACACTGCTGTCTCAAAGAGTTTGAAAAGATTTACTTTATGCACAGCACTAAAAAGGCTTTCTGTAATACCGTTTAGAATTTGAATGGAAAAATGAGTCGAAGGATCAAAGAGTTGGTATGGATGGAGATCTTCGCCTACACCTTCATTGTAACTTTCTGCCCTTTCTTGGCCCCTTCAGTCTTCACCCTTCCCCACTGTCCATCCTCCCCATCCTGCCCTCACTGTGCTCACACGGTCCTGCTCTCCTCTCTCTCTGCCCCAATTTCTGACAAGTCTCACCAATTTAAATGCAGTTTCCTTTGGATAGGGACCTCTGTCTGTGTTCTCCTACCCAAACTCCCACCTCAGCCTGGCTCCCTGACATCTGGGGACATCTGGCCCTCATCTCAGACCCGTCGTGGCTGAAGAGGAACTGTCACTCTCATTCCAAGTGACTCTTTCTCCCTTTCTCAATCAGTGACACTATCACCTCCTCTTATCTATCACTTGGGCTCATAACCTGGATGTCATCTTCACCTTAGACTTTCCTCTCTCTTCTCAAGGTTGTTTAGACACTTTTCCTGTAGCTTCTCCCAGACGTGCCTTTCCTACCATTCACATAACAAAGATGCCGTGCAGGCTCTTTCTTCTCTTGTCTTGAGTCCTGCAGCATCTTTTCCTGGGCAGACCCAGCCTTGGCCCACCACTATCTACCCAACTTGTTGCTACACGCACTCTTTTTCTAGCTCATCACTACTGATCACGTTCACCACCCATCTTTTCCCTGGGCTCCCTTGGCTACCCACATCCACCCCTTGCTTCATGCCAGGCTCTTACAGACGAGCTTTGAGGCAAGGACCTCCTCAGCTCTGCATTTCTGCAGCATCTGGTTCGTAAGCCATGACTGCAGGTCCAAGAATAAGAATAGCAGCAACGTGCAAGCTGATTCCAGCCCAAGTCAGCGGAGGCCAGAAGTTGCTGCACTCAGAAGTCTGTTCATAAATCAATGTGAAAACGCGCTGTCTGAGCATAGCTCCCAGTAGACACGGATCTGCATAACACATACCACTGACACAACTGGCGATGGGAAAAATATCAAAACATATCATTCCCACAGCTGTGGAGGAATGAATAAAGATGTCTAATTCCCCTGTCCCTGGGGTGAACCCTGGTCCAGGTAAATGCACTTCTTATAAAACAGAGGTTTTAAAAGCGGAGGGACTGTTAGGAAAGTCTAATCTGAGCACACTGAGCTAGAAGATGATACCCAGGGACTCCAGTGTCAAGATCATAACTGAATTTGGAAGAAGAGAGTGGGAGAAAGACATCCAACCCTCACTTTAAAATCTCAGGTGGTGGAGAAACAAGTTCACCCCTTGGTGAGTTGTTCCAATGCTTTTTCCCATTCTTGATTTGCCTGGCTTCAGCTTCCAGCCATGTAGCACTGTTGTCTGCTGTGTGAGAATGGAACCCTCTTATTAGAAATCCTCACCCAGTTTTGGCATTTATAATCCAACAATCAAGCATTCCCTTGAATAAATTGAATACAGTTTCTTGTACTTGGTGGCAGAATGACCAGACTATGACCAGACCAGTCAATGATGTCACTTGATTGCCCCAGATTTTCAACCTCCTTTTCTCCTGCAGAGACCCAAGATGAGCTCTGGATTGTAGAGACTGGTCTCCAAAGAGCCAGGGAGAGGGCAGCACCACCAATCCTATTTGGTTTTCTGCTTCTTCATCCAAGAACCACATTTATTCTGCTGGCCAGTGTTACATAAGTATGGAGCAATTTCCATTGGTCACTCCTGAAGAAAAACTGCATTGGCAAAGTAAAATTTGCACTTCAATCCTAGCTCAGTCAAGTGAAGGCAATTCTGGCCTGGTTTGGGTTCAGAACAATCATCCCTCCAGCACCCAGTCACTCACACTGGGTCTCTTCAGCTGCAGGGGAGCAATGAAGAAAGTGATGTTGTATGTGCCTAAGTCCTAATGCAGCAGCGATATTGTAGGAATTTGGCTTCTTGTTGGGAGATAAGAAGATGGAGATGTGAAATGTTTTTCCTTTGCTTTAATAGCTCAAGTTTTCTGGATTTATATCCTGTCCCTCCTATCTTTTCAAGGAGTTGAATCTGTTTTAATTTTTGAATCACAGCTGGAGGTAACATGTTTGACACCGTCTTCTTCTAAAGTGAATTTAGTGCTGCTAAATGGTAACAGATTGCCAGGGCTGACTTCTCCCTGTGCCCCTGGCAGAGGAGCAGCAGGACAAACCTGAGCTGGGGAAGGGGTTGCCTTTCAAAAGGGCCAAGATGCCCTCAAACAAAAGCCTGCTCTGTCTTTGCTGAATGCAGAGATGATGTGCAGGTAGGTCCAGCAGAGGCAGGTCATCAGAGACAACGTCTCTCCCTGTGCAGCCTTCCAGTCTGCAGGAACCACCTTACCTTTCCTTCATCAGTCAGAAACCAGCATCTGACCTCAGAGGATCTTGTGTAGAACCCATATGGCAATGAGAATCATGACTCTCATGCTATTACTGACTGAGCAGGAACGGGCATGTGTGTCCAGGAGGTTGCATGGCCCTGACTTAGGATGGTCCCATGCAGACCAACCTTTCTTCTTGCAGTTTGCCTAGATAAAACAAAAAGGGGAGAAAGGCATCTTATAATGAGAGACCTTGGCACCTTATATAGTTAATGCAATTGAACTCACACTCTGCTCAGTTTTCACAACTGGGTTCTTACTCTGATGACTTAATTCCCTTTGATGTCCCTTCTGTCCCTCCCTTGCTTTCGCTGAGCCTAAAATAACCCAACTGTCCATCTTGCTTATGGAATTACTGAACTTTTAAGAGAACACAAAGTGCTGTCACATGAGGATTTGGGATTAAACCTCTCTTGTTTATGTTAAACATAACATCTTAATTCTTCCACTGCTGGAGGGCATATGAGTCTCCACAACCCCAACGAAACCTGCTTTCAAGCCCTATAGCAAAGGTCACTGTGATTTGTTTCTCATTACAAATGTTCTTTCCGGTAAAGCTGCCTCATGGTATATGACAGTTCTCTTACAAAACACCTTTATGCAATTTAAAGCATTTTTACTTAAATATTTTCCATTGTAAGACAACATATGCTTATTTTTCAGCACATTTCTCTTCTCTCAAACTGCACTAATCAGTGGAGTAACTGACTTTTTTCCAGGGATGTGGTAAGGAACATAACTGCCTGCCATCCATGTTTCATCCAACAGCCGAGGAGCTCTGGATCTGGTGGGGGGATCCCACTGAATCTGGCAGCTCCCTGAACTGGGTTTAACTCTAGCCTCCTGGCTCTGGGAGTACCCCTTCTGTACAGATGTGTGTGCACATCTGGAGGGGTAGACCTGTGGGAAAGGGGGGCAAGGCAGCACGGATTACTGAGTAGTAGATTACTGTAGACTACTACCGGAGTGAGAAATGGTCCTGCACCCCATGAAGTCCCACAGATGAAGGGAATAGGAAATAACATGAGGGATGAGGCAGACCTGAGGTGATGCAGAGCCCAAGAGAAAACCAGAGACAGCAGGGGAAAGGCAGAGGAATTGGGAGGAAAGGCAAGGAAAGACTCAGGACAGGAGACAAGGGGCAGTGTGGGAAGTAATGGCTCAAGGAAATTTTTAGGCAAAGAAGGAATGAAGGAAGGAATTAATGTTTGGAATTTAACTTACTGAACATCATATTGAAAAATTATTGTGAGCGCTGCTTGCAGGTGTGCAGTATAAACACCATCAGAGACACCTGCATTTCCCCACAGGAGCTGTCAGCCCTTCTGTAAAACCACTCAGCAGTGTCACACTGGCCAGCTTGCATTGACAAAAGTCCTGCAGAAAGTCCTGCAGAAAGTCCTGCAGAAAGCTGAGCTTAGCTTGAGTGTCATGCCCTGCCTCTCTGCTGGTCCCCTCCTGACCTGCAGCCAGAGATCTGCTCTCCTTCATCTGCCCGCCTTCCCAACGTGACCCCAACATCACCATCGTTTGATGGGCATCCAACCATCTAGACAAACCTCACAAAGTGGCTCAATGCCCTGCTCCATTAGTGTATGAGCTCTGTATTTTTCTGCGTCTTGAGTAGGTCTTGTTCTTTGGTATGCTTTTGAATAGGGCTTTCCAGGTCTGTGAAGACACAGTGTTCACAGAGCAGCTGACGTGAAAACACATCCCCCCTGCCATTGTGCAGGAGGTTTATTTGGATTTTAAAAATTGCCCTCAGGAAAGGATAAAAAAACTACGCTTAACCCAGTGAGTTAACCCAAGCATGTGTCCAAGGTAGTGAAATGAGCTCTGATCCAGCTCCCCCACCAGAGATTGCTCCCTCCTCTCATGGGAATCAGCTGTCTTGTTGCTGAGCAAAACTGTCCTCCTGACTCAGGGGAATTTCTTCCCCCAGGAGCTGTGTTAGCAATGCCACCGACGTTCATCGGGGACTCACTTGGATGCCAGCAATGAAGGCCACACTGCTGATGGTGTTGGTCATCACGTCCTGCTCCCGAACTCCTTGGCAATGAGATGCTCCCACACGCCGTTGGCATTACAAAGGAGAAAACGCCTCTACTTCTGAACCTGCCTTGGCTAAGTGAAATGCCTCCATGCAACTCGCTGATAACCTGTTGGGAGAGGCTGACTGCTCTGCTGTGGCACAGTAGATCGGTGCGTTTGCACACAGAGAGCAGCCAGCGCAAGGTTTTATGTCAAGGCCAGGACAGCTGTTCCCTGGCCACCACTTCAAGGGTGGATGACACATGTACAAGGCAGGTGGTGTTGGAGCCAGCGAAGGCTACAAAATCCAGCAGCAGCAGCAGCCTAAGCAAATAATTTGCTGGATTATATTGCCTGTCAGCAAAGCTGCCTGGCTCCTCCTTGGACTGCATTAACTGTTCGGGCTGAAACATTACATTTTGCATGTTTATCTTGGGGAGATTTATGTGGAAAATATTTCAATGGTCTCCTCACCAGGGAAGGCTAAAGAGCAATGTCTTGTTTTGCTTGTGTTGAAGACTGTGTTCCTACGAGTAGAGGCGCGACCTTCACATCTGGCTGAAAGGTGGGGATGGAGAAGGGGATTGACTGGAAGGATAAGATTTGGGGACCAAAAAACCAAGCCTGGTAGGTCACATCTTCTTACTACATAAGAGTTGTGAAGTCACATCCATTAACATGTTTGTGGCACTCAGATAATGTGGAGACGAGCATCACAGGAAAGCCCATATACATGTTAATAGTTCTGTCTCTCAAGTTCTGCCTCTCAAATCCTTAATGATTCAAGGACAGGGGATTTCAGGACATTTGCACACTGAGCAGTGAAGATAAAACATAACTGCTCTCTGGAAGGGCAAAGTCCAAACTGCCGCTCAGGGTTCACCATCCTGAACGAAGGCTTAGGAGACAGCAGACATTCTTGGGTTACTGAAGATTTACCATTCCTCATTTGCATCTGTGCGCGTGTAGCACTTGATGAGACACCTGGAAAGACGTTCTGTGCTGTTCCCATCTGCAATGCAATAGTTAGAGAAGAACTGCCTTCTGCAGACACCCTGCTAAAAACCCTGCTCTGCAGAGGCTTGTTGGAGCTGGGCACAGGCACAGCCTGAGGTCTTGCAGGAGACTGAAACACTTAGGAGGGACTTTCACAATATAAACGGCCAAAAGTTGTCCTCACTACTTGGAGGGCTATCCCATTCCAGGAGTTACTGGGAATGAGAGTACAAAGTCACTTGCAGCCCGTCCATCCTCTTGCTGTGAGTTCGCTGCCGAGGTTCAGCTCTGAGCCTTGTCTGCTGCACAGGTGATAACATAACCATAAGGGAAGAAAAATATCTCTTTCACAGAGATGTATGTTAACCTCCAGTTCTGATTAAATATATCCCAGCTGCTAGGAACAGCTGTGAAAGATTTTTTTTCTTTGCCTTTTTCAAGTGTGATGCATTCCTCCTCTTCACTGTCCCCTCATGAAGGGGGGAAGAAGAGCGTTGGATAAAAGCCTTGCTCCAGGGCAAGAAAAAATCCAAACTGCAGCTTTGCATAAATCTGTCACTTCGATTCCCCTGAGAACAACTGCAAACTTGAAAAAAGGCATAGTAAAGCAGGCACAGGTGTTAACTCCTCTTTTTTTAATTGGTAAAAAAAACCATGGAGAAAAAGTTGCTGCGAACAGCCCCCAGAATATGATTTCTTTCATTCAGCTTCATGCTTCGTTAGCTTTTCCAGGACAATCTCTGTGTCAATAAAGTCTTATTTCTAAACCAGAAAGGAAACAGGCAAACTGTCCTGTTTCAATATCTGCTGCAAAATCCACATTAACCACCCTTTGCTGCTTCTGCTGTTTTATTCTCTCCCTGGAACGATTTGTGAGGGGGGTTTTGCGCTCTCTCTCACTTTTAAATGCTGATGCGTCAAAGATTGGCTGGGTTTGGCTCGGGGGTGGGAGGGCAGCCTCTGAGGAGACTCAGTGATGTCTTTCACCCCAGGGTCAGCTTTGTATCCTGCTTCAAATTTGGCTCTTTTACTTGAAACAAAGAACCCCTGTTGTCACAAACGCTTCTCCTCTCCTCAATCCAGGCACTTTCATCCCCAAACCCTTCAGCAACAAGTGGCCAGATTTCGCTCCAGCGAGCGGAGGCGGCCACGGGGGCTGAGTTCATCTTTGCTGGGGCCCAACGCAGCGATGCCCTGGTTGTGCCCCGGGAGGACTTTGACAGCACTGAGGAAGCCTGGAGGCAAGGGCTGCCCCGAGACGGGTGGAAGGAAGGAGAACCAGCCACAACGGGGATGTGTGGCAGGACCCCCCATGCCGGCGGGGATGGCACAGGTACCCCTTGCCCTGCCTGGGGCTCCTCTTGCCCCCCAGGTAGCCCACGCAGACCCTGGCTGGCTGCAGCCCATCTCCACACCCCTACCTTTGTCCCTTAATCTCTCATGCTTTCATTCATCAGGAAGGGTTTTCGTTAAGGCTCCATTGTAAAGAAGGAAATTGCTTTTGCCACTGCAGTCCCAAGAGCTGTACATTTCTCAGGCAATTAGACCTTTATCAGGCTTTATGCTGCAGAGATAAGGTTTGCTGAATATGTGTTGACTGACACAGACATATAGCTTAAATAATGTAAGTTAATTGCTTTGAAGTGCTTTTTTTCTTGTTTTGGGTCTGGTTTTTTATTTGTTTGGTTTAAGTCCTTGCCCAGCTCATTGGCGAAACTATATTTGCAGTAAATGAAGTGAAAATATTTAGGACTGTGTTGGGTACCACTAGTCACAGTGTCTAAGCCCGGCATGCTGCTCTCTCCAGGTGTGATGGACTTGGTGACCACTTCTCTCCTGTGACTGTCTTGGGAGCACAACCTGATGGGGCCGGAGAACCCACCAGATAGTTTTCTCGCACTGAACCACCCCAGGACTCACGGTGCTGAGCCAGGAGACTCAGCTCTCACTCTGACATCAGGGGAAGCTGCCCACACCAGGACAGCTCTAATCCTACTCACTATGATCTGAGGGTATATGGAAAATGGTTTACCCACCGAGGTAGTTTTGCATTTCAGTGTTGTACTGCTTGTGTTGGAAGCCAAATTAATAATAAGGTTTGGCCAAGTTCTGCGTAGGTTGAAACCTGGCATTTGGCTCAGCTTCTGTCTGACGAAGAGCAAGATTTCAGCATCCCCATCAGCAACTTTGCTTCTGGGTCTGTCATTCCCATTCCAGCAAACAAGCCATGGGTGGCTTGCCTCCAGATTAGGATACCTGTGGGTCTTGTGAGTTGTGGCGGGAGGGTTACATGGGGTTGGGTTTAAATAGATGAAAAGTCAGAATTTGTGAGATTTTTGCAGCCTATGCAATTAATTCGTAATGACAGAGCTAGCATGAATTCCACCACTGCAGTACATGGCTGTGCCTGGGGACATGCAGAAGTTCAAGCTAATGTATAGCTCTGCCCGTTGTGTGGCAGCTGATGGATCACACTGAATCATACCAAGAGTTGTGCTGGATTGTGCTTGGAGTTCCTCATTTCAATAATCTACCAACCCTCACTGAAATCAACGGGAGGCTGAAACTGATGCTTTTAATGTGAGTTGGGTTGGCTGTTGAAACCCAACATTATTTGAGATCATCTCTCTTACATTCTCCCTCCGAAAGCCAAGAAATTTATTATGGACAAGTGCTAGCTTACGTAGATATGATGAATATATGCTATGATTTATATTCCACAGTTCAGATCAGAGTTCAGATCTCCCTTAAGCAAAAGATCCTTTTTTATCCAATATCCAGAAGTGCTAGGAGACAATTGGAGTCCTTGGTTCTTAAAATCACTTCCCTCTTGGTTCACCTTTCCTTAAAGGCATTTGAGAAAGTGATGAGTCCTGCATGGATTGGAAATGGCAGAACATTTTCTGAAAGGCAACAGAAATACACTGAAAGACAGTAAAACCAAGTTGGCCCTGCAGGTAGGGACTTGGACTCGGGACACCGGAGTGTAATTCCCTTTTCCGCCACTGGCTTCCTGTGACACTTTGGGCGAGTCACCGAAGGCCAAATACTTAAAAATATGAGTCTTAGTCCCATTGTATCCCAGATTCCCATTTGTAACTAGGGATAACACCATTTTCTTTGATCACAGTGGTGTGGTGAAGCAGAGGTCCTGGACTATCACGATACTACAGTAATGGCAACTACATGAATAAAGCTCATGTTGTAGGAAAGACTACTAATAAAGAATTTATAACTAGCAAATCATGGAAAAGAAATACAGGAGTGAAATGTTCAGAATTGCTAACTGTGTGTTTAAAGGTTTGGGAAAATGCCTAGAGCTGCAAGTAGGTGCCAGAGAAATTAATTACGATAATAAAACTTCTGGGAAGAGGTGGAAATGCTGGAATGATCAAATCATGTGTAATTACGAGGACCATTTTCTGTCTTCTTGGTAACACAGAGCTGCAGGGAATGTGTGTGTTGCCTCCAGAAATGTTAGGGGCTGGGATGTCATTCTTTCAGAAACAAAACAGACAAGAACTGAAAGGGGGGAAAAAAAAAGGAAGAAAAAGAAAATAAAAGCCAAACCAAACAAATGCCTCACAGGTCATGATACAGCAACCAAACCTTTGAAAGGCAGCCAGGGGAAATTCCCTGAGAAGCTTCCCTCTGCTCAGGTAGGAATTCCTCACCCCTAACCTTTGTTTGGGATCAGCTGAATCATGTTATATGGTCTTATTTTTCACTCCAGCCATACACCTCCAGTCTGCGCACACCCAAGTGGATTATCAGGACAAACAAGCCTCTACACTTCCTTTCTTTCCTCCAGCCCTCATGTTCATGGTTGGAGCTTCTTTTCCAACATAGTGGCCTCTGCCCGAGCCACGCTGGTCTCAAAGGGCGGTGGGCAGAGCCCACAAGACCAGAAGTGCTTGCTGCAGCAGAAAGCCATGCAATTGCTCCCTCACTGACATATTTAAAGGCAATATTTGACAAACTGCTGCTCATTGCAAAAAATTC